TTTATATATGTTTGTATCTTTATATTTTTTATAATTATATGTTATTATCTATTATTATAAATAATTGATTATTTTAAAACTCATTTAAAATATATTATTGCTTATTTATATTAAATCATATCTTTTAACCACATATCTTAAAAAACATTTCTCACTATATAATTTAATTTAATATTTTATATCAAAATATTAAAACCCGCGATTCACTGAATACTACATCAATAAGTGATACGTGGTCAATATCTGGACACGTAATGAAGAGACTATATCACACTCATTTGCTCTACGTATAAAAAATACTCAAATGAACATCAAAACTATTCTTCGTAATAAATTAATTCAACATTTAATTTTCAAAAAGGAATACAAATATATTTAAATTAACTGCGTACTTGGTCTAACAAACTCCGCCATTCACACTCTTAGACTACGTATGCGGGAAATTCAAAATATATTTCACAATCTATAAAAAATACAAACAACCCTGCGAACTACGAGATATGACTCTGATTCCTCCTAGGAGGACACGTAGGCATACGATTAAAATCATGGTGAGTCCCGCTAACTAAAATTCAAACCCTTTTCTCTAATAAAACAATAAAAACCCTATTTCCTAAACATCGTGCTTCTAAACCTAGTACTCTTGCGAATAAGGTAGATAAGGGGTGCCTAACACCTTCCCCTTGTCTAGAACCGAGTCCAAACCTAGAATCTCCTAATTTCTTTTAGGTTTATTTCTTTATACTCCCTTCCTTTAGGATAAAAAAATTATGGGTGACGACTCTATAAAAAAACCAGTTGCAACATTAATGTTTTTTCATATTTTCTATCTTTTGCATATTCAGTGTAACGCATCTCATACGTCAACGATGTGTCCTCAGCTTCGCAGCCATCTGATCCAGATCCAATGGACCTAGGGCAAGTCCTAACGATACACCTCCTGAAGTGCTTCTCACTGGATCCAGCAAAGAACTCATTAGGCCTAACGAATTCCTATTCGCACCCCTTCCATCTTTCTATTTTAGGCCCAATTTCTATCTTTTCTATTTTCTATTCATTTTTATAACATAATTAGTATTTAGTTTAATTAATTAAAATTAATTTAGAATCTTAGATTTTTTCTAATCATTTTTTTATTAATTTAACTAATCAACTTTTTTTTAATAATTAAAATAATTTCTTTTTTTAATACAAATTAATTAAGGTTTTTTATTTTAATTAATAAATTTCCTTTTTAATCAATGTTAATTAGGGGTTTTTTAGGTCAATCATCGAAACCTTTTCTATCAAAAATCACTAAAACAATTTCCTTTCCCTTTTCCTATTTTTTTACATTTTCGCGTAGTTTATTATTCTCGCATTTTTACGATTGTCGTAATTGCTCACATTTATAATAGTAATTAGGTTTACTTTCCCGTATTATTATTATTTTTGTACTTCTCCCAAAGCCATGTAATAGTCTAGAGTTTTACTTTCCGCATTTACTTTCCGCATATTTATCGCTTTCCTATTTTTTACTGTTATTGTTAGTAGTTAGGTCATGTATGACAAGATAAAATAAAACGGTAGCAAACCCTAATGCAAGACAAAATAAATGAATACAAAACACTTGCACATACACACCTCTAGGGTAGTCTCTTATTGACTTTAAATTAAACAATCATGTCCCTCGAATGTGGGGACGCTTTAGCACTGTCCCTCGAAAACAAAGATCGTAGTTCCTCGATGACTCTTTCGATGTTGTCTTTGGTAAACAATCTAGTCCCTTAACGATAATTGCTAAAGCGTCCTTATAAGTTGCCTTCGATGATTGTACGATGACCCACGTTCGTCCCTTCACATCCAACGATAGGACTTCCTACTAATTAATGGTAGGGAAACATTATCTAAAGGAGGAGGAAAAGTACGAGAAAGACCTTGAGTAGGTAGACCGTTGTTAATCGCTTGCTCACAAATCTCTTCAAAACAAAAACATTTCACACAGACACTTTCAAAATGTTTTCAAAACACCTTGTACGCATTCTCGAGGGCAAATACGAGAATCATTACAAAATTCTCTTTACAATTGAAATTTTAAAAATATTTTCAAACATGCACAACATAAAGCAATTTTCAAAACAAAGTGAGTTAAGCGATTAAGAGCTTGTAGATAACTACGGATGAAAACGGTACTAACACCTTCCCTTTTCATAATCTACCCCCGAACTCAAAATCTTCAAGGTCTTTCCTGTTCTTTTCATCCTTTCCTTATTGGATAAAAGAAAAGTCGGTGGCGACTCTTGCTATCCGCAACATGTGCGTTAAAACGCTAAAGTAGTCAGTTCTCCCACCGTATTACAGCAGCCTTGCAATACTTCTTCTTGGCTTCGTTGTGGACAGTCTTTTGTGCGTCGGTTGCATCTTCAGTCAGCGCACGAACGCGATTAGTAACCACTTTTAGAATTTTATGAAAGCCAAACAGAGATTGCATCTGTTTTCTCCATCGAATCCAACTTTTGTCGTCAAGAGTTGGAAGAGAATTCAGAATGTTATTGTTTCCATTCATCTTTGTAGAGATTGATTGACAACAATCCACGATCCCAGAAACACGATCTCTGATGCGTGATTCTTGAAAATACGATCAAGAATCTAACTGAAGCTCTAGATACTAATTTTTTAGTGCGTGAGGCACTTTTAGTGAGGGAAAAGAGATAGAATAAAGGAAATAAGGGTTGTATTGTTGAATTGAATTGTTACAAATAATGATACAAACTATGACTATTTATATACACCTAATTTATACACTAAGTAGACTAAGAAATCCTAATTAAACTTGTGCTTAAGTTACACAATTTGGATTAGATCTAATATTTCAACATATATATAACTCTATAATATAACTACTCATTTATATTTTGTGTATAAAATTATTTGATGTTGATTTTTTAAAACAATTTTTTTTTTTATAAAATAGTTTATAAAAGTTTATTCATAATGGTTATTTGGATAAGCCCTTGTGCTATAAACTACAAATAGATTGAATATTCAAAAACACTTTTTTTTTAACTAAATAATTGTGGACAATATTAAATTCTTAATTTGTAAGCTTCAATTTCCATTCATGAAAAGAAGATCATGCATCGAAGTGATGATCAAGGATCTCTTAAAATCAGTTGAGAACCAATTCTAAATGTTCAAATCAAAATAGAAAGAGCATAAAAAAATGGTGAGTGTCTTCAAATCCTATCACATATGGTAGTGGTTAATTTGAATATGAAAAGATGGTGAGTTTCTTCAGATATGAATATCAACTTGCTAATTTAATAAGTTGACAATGTGGACAAGCCTATATCCTATCACATAAACAACAATAGTGCAGCAAGAAGACAAGGACGAAAGAGTTTCCCCAAAGATAATGCAAATCCACCAATAGGTTTAAGAAATTCAGAATACCACACCTTTTATAAGACAAGTCCATTTTACATCAATACATTATTCTTAAATTGAAAAGTAAGCTATTGATCTTATCTATCATGTCTTAACCTATACACATGAATATACCAATAAAAACCATATACAAGTACATAAAAAATGTAGAGAGACATGTGACAAGACAATAATAAAGTTCTTGGATTAATCTAACGATGGTAGTTGATTTTAGAATATATATATATATATATATATATATATATATATATATATATATATATATATATATATATATATATTAAATTTTAAATTTAGTATCCGACTTTGTTATCGACTATTTCAAGGAAATTAATCTTTCAGTTTATTTGTAGGATCTATCTAAAGCAAGAGCAAAGTTATATATAAATTTGATTTATAGAAATTATTTATATTTAATATGATTTCGCACATTCAAGATCACACAACTTACTCTCGATGTAATTGTCACTGATGTACTAACTACGTGAATGCGTGAATTTATTACCTAAAAAGATAGAGATGGTTGTAGGACATAGAGAATCTAGGTCCATAGTAAATTGTACTATAGTGCTCTACATAAGTTCCAATCAAACTAGTATACAATACAAATCTTTCTCTCTCCATCTCTCACTTTCTCTTATTCACACAAATAGATGTCTTAAGTTTTAGGTCTCTCTATATTAAGACCTTGTAACTGTAAAATAGTGCTATCTGTTTCTATACATAGCACTAAGCATTTATTGTTGTTACAACATTTACAACAAACGTCATCTCTCTTGCAGTTAAACCAAACTTAGATAACAAGAATACTAAGCTTATACTTGCATTATATTTCCTACCACATGAGCTTCTAAAGCCATAACCATATCCATCTCAAAATCTTGAATCTTCCATGCCAACAAACTTGTATGGATACTACAAAACAGAAGCATGAATCATCTTCTCAACTTGTACTTGATCTAAGTCTCTCTAGCAAAGATTCATGTGACGATGAATCAAAGCCGGAACTAAACCTCCTCAACTGTTTCCATGCGAATTTATCAGAAAGCTCGTCGGAATCAAGTCATGAAAATGAACTTGATCCAAGAGTTTTCTCATGCAACTACTGCCAAAGAAAATTCTATAGCTCGCAAGCACTAGGAGGACACCAGAATGCTCATAAGCGCGAAAGAACTTTGGCGAGAAGAGGCTATACAACTAGCATGGCTTCTTCTCTCCCTTCTTACGGCTTATGTAACAAATCACTTGGCATTCAAGTGCATTCTATGATTAACAAACCTTCTTACCAAACACAAAAACCCTTTTTTAGATTTTGTTCAAATGGACAGAATGTTTGGAAAAGACAGATTTTTGAATCACAACTAGCAATTGGAAAGGCTCCATCTGAAACTGAACCATTTTTTGGCAGTGGCATTCAAAGGGTAGCTATGTTTCCTAAAAGTCTTGTGAATGAAGGATTTGGACTTGGAGGTTACTTACTGGATAACAGCACTTCACATTTAAAGTCTAAACAAGACAAGTTGCACAAGCTTGATTTGTCCCTTAAGCTCTAAGTGTAGTCTCCTTCAACCGACATGTCATTTGTTCGAATCCGAACAATCATTCATCAGAGTTTACTTATCTCCCGGTTGAGCTCTAGAAAACCGGACACATTATTAGCTAAAGAGCTTTCAACTTTTTTTTCTTCCTTCTTCACTTGTTTTGTTTTCATGTATCTCTCTTGTTCAACCAGGTTTGAATGCATTTTGATTACTACAAGAGGTTCTTATTTGTTGTTATTTGTCTTACGTTTTGCCATAAAAATAAATTACTTGCTGATGATGATTATTATTAATATTATTATTATTTTTGTTGAATTTCAAGAATTGATTTGAAAGTAATAAAGGTTGAATATTGGCCTGCATGTGTCTTTGATTCATCCATAAACATAAGTTATAAATGATGAATGAGAAAGAAAAACAAACAAAAAGTAGAAAAAATAAGTGCTGATATCACTTGATAACTGAGATTTTTTAATATATTTTAGGTCATGCTTTTACTTAGTTATCAACTAATATGAAAGTTTTTAGGGTAAAATTAATAATATACTCCAACTCATTTAGATTTATTCATGAAAGATTGAGATTGTTTACTTTATCTTTAAGGTTTCCTTTAGAGGAGAAAAATCCAAAATGTATGACCATCTTTTGCTCCCACAGTTAAGAACTTGTCTAGCACCAAATTTTAGTATTAAATATGTGTCGGTGTCTTATATATTTTGTATTGTTATATTTTTTATTTATTATAAGAGTATTAAATATGTATCGGTGTCTTATATATCTTTGTATTATTATATTTTTTTTTATTATTAGAGAAAATTTATTTTTTAAATTTATTTAATAATTAAGATATCTGACTTATATATAGATCCGATATATTAATAATTGAATAAATTTAAAAAAGGAACTTTCTCTTATAATAAGAATTGAAAGAAATATAATTATTTTATTTTTTTTAAATTATTATTGGTATTACGTGTAAGGCTGTTCATAATATGGTTTTATGAGATAATCAAACCAAATTTAATTATAGTTGAAGTTTATTCGAACTGAAATGAACCGTTTTAATTTATTTAGAATTGAAGAGAGTTAAAATTATTGATTTGATAAACTATTTCAAAATTTCGAACCATACTAAATTGTTAGAAGATAATTTTTTCCAAACCGAATAGTTTATTAAAGAATCGAACCGTTAAACTATTTTTTTTAAATAAAATTTATTTTTAATATTTTTTCTTTTCAGTTTTGATTCAATTCGGTTATGGTTCAATTCGATTTCAATTTTGATTCGATTCAATTTTAAAATAATTTGTATAATATGATTTGATTCACCAACTAAATATCAAAATTTAATTATTTTAACCTTTCCATTCAAGCCAGTTCAGAGTTTTTTTTTAACAATCTTAATTATGTGTTAGGGTTGTGTATCTAATTCATGAAATGTAATACCAAATAGTTATTTAATTTAACTTCTTGCAAAGGAGTAAAAAAAATAGGAATAATTGAACCACAAGGAGTAAAAAAAATAGGAATGATTGAATTTGAAAGTGAACTAAATGTCAACCTAGGACTATTTGAATCAAGGTAGTACAAGATGTATGTCACATATATTGGGTGACAAAGATCTGCTGTAGACATTTGGAAGTTAGTGACTGTCATATTCTGTAGTACTTATTGAAAAAATTGGTCCACCAGAATGAATGAATGTTTTAATGGTTGCAAATATGTCAATAACTCCTACTTTAACCCACTTGTGGTTGGAGAAATGGACATTCAGATTAAAGAAGTTGGTGGGGTAAAAGATGTGGAAGTAACTCAAAATAACACTCAACTATGATATCAATATCATATCATTTCAAAAGAAATTTTTTATCATAATGTTTCACAATATTAAATATATAAATATTAATAAATTATTTTTGAATGTCAATGATTGAACCGTACACTAACAACTTACATATCTTTACCGTTCAACAAACACATGTCAGTTGGGTTACCCATTAATAAAAAAGCATTTTGTAAACCTCATTTCACTTTGATTAATTGAAGTTAATTATTTATAATGCTAAGACATCTATATATAATTACTCATGAATGCTTGAACACACTCCATACATATATGATAAAGCCTTTACATATGTATGACTTGCATGTTTGTAAAACTACGTCATACTTACAATGCTTTAGTTATGGTGAGTGATATCCTACACTATATTACTCTTCCACAAGTTTAAGGAGGATTGAAGCCGACGACTTTGAGTTTGATGTGCATGTCTTAAAACACTCTTGTATCAAGCGGTTTAGTGAGTGTATCTGCAATTTGCAAAGCACTAGGAGCATATTAAATCTTCATGTGTTTGGTGCGAATATGGAGAATTAGATTGTGCGAGAGAATAACGACAATAAGGTTGTCACATAAAAGCGTTGGAGGAAAGAATGTTACACTGAGTTCTTTGAGCAAAGATTCAAGTCACGACAATTCTAAAGTAGTGTGGGTTAAGGTACGATATAATGCCTTAGTGTTGATCATGTAACCTGTAATATGGTGGGAGAACTGATTCTTTTGGTTTTATCCAAATGTGCGGATAACAAGAGTCGCCACCGACTTTTCTTTTATCCAATACTTAGGAAAGGTAAAAAGAACAGGAAAGATCTTTGATAGATTTTGAGTTCGGGGGGTAAGTTATGAAAAGGGAAGGTGTTAACACCCTTTTCATTTGTAATTATCTACGGGCTCTTAATTACTTAGTTCACTTTGAAAACTTGCTTTGTGTGTGTGCGTGATTTGTTTGAAAATATTTTGAAATGACAATGTATGGCTAACTTTGTAATGATTCTTGTATCAATCCTCAAGAATGTATACAAAATGTTTTGAAAATATTTGTTTGAAAGTGATGTGAAAAATGTATTGTTTGTGAAAAAGGTTGTGAGCAAGCAATTAGGATTTCTTATCCATTTTTTTTCGTGTTATTTTCCTTCTCCTTTAGAGATATTATTATCCATACCATTAGTTGGTAGGTAATCATATATATTGGATATGAAGGGACATGCGTAGGGTCATTGTATGATCATCAAATGCAACATGTAAGGATACTTTAGCAATTGTATCGGAGGGACTATCATCATTTTGTAAGGAACTTGAAGGGTCATCGAGGGACTGTAATCTTTATTCGAAGGGACTATGATGATTTGATCGAGGTTCTTTTGCTAAAGTATCCCTACGTTCGAGGGACATGACCAAGTATCGTAAGACAACAAGAGAGGATACTCTAGAGGTGTAAATGTGAAGAGTGTATTGATTTCAGTTATTTATCTTGAGAATTAGGATTTTCTACGTTTGTTTTTAGTCTTGCCATGCAAACCCTAGTTACTAATAGTTAAATATGTACAGAAAATTAAAGTGTGGAATGTATAGTGCGTAAATTTAAACCTAAGCTATTACATCCTGTGAGCAGATACATAATTAGAAAAAGATGCGGAAATGTAAATCTACGCTATTACAATCGAGAGTGGGATTTATACATTTTCTAGAAAATTAAATAGCAACAGATAAATAAGAAAAGTGTTAAAAAATGTCAAAGACCTAAAATCTAAGTGTTAATGTTTTCGATGTTTTATAGAAAATAATTTAAGTGTTAATAATTAATTAAAACCTAATTGTTTCTAATTAATTTTAATATTAATAAAAAAGTTAATTAATTAATTAATTAATAAAAACATCTCAAGAATTTAACTATTAATTAAAAACCCTAATCCTAATTTGTTAGATTTTCTTTAAAAAAATTAGGTTGGTTAATGTTTAATTAAAAAAATAATTAGTAAAGAAAAATGGAAAACTTAGGGTTAGAAAGAAAATAGGGTAAGAAAGAATGTATGGGGTGGGTGTTGAACTCACACCCTTGGTCTCAAGGATATGCTTTCCTGCCACTGTGTCATGCGTTGATTGGTGTTTGAGAATGAGAAGCAATCATTATAATATTAACCTGTGCGTTAATTTGGAAAAACAAAATAATTTTGTAAGACATAGGGATCGAACCCACGCCCCTTACGTTACAAGCTTATGTCTCTCACCATCTGCGCTACACCACATTTGTGTTATAGAATGTGAACAAATAAATATATAATAAAGAAAGTGAACCAGAGAAGCGTCGGAGCCCTAGCTCCGGTCGTCTTCTCTAACGAGACAATTTTTCAACCTGCAAAATAGCAAGATTTAAAGATCAAGAAGGGTCGCATCCCCCCTAATTTGGACCTCCTGAATTCAATGGTGGTGTTAGTTTGGCCTGAAACTGCTTATATCGTGAGTTTCGAAACAAATAATTTAAACTGCCCTAACAATGATAACTCATCATCCCTGCATCAAAGCTTGCAAGTAATGAATCAAAACAAATATAAGCATGATTATAAACATGTATGTGTGCATTAAATAATTCAACAGTGCACATATTAAGAATTTGAGATTCACGAAAATTACCAAAACTGGTGCAATTGGATGTGGCTGTTTTGGACGTGGAATTGCTTCAAGGATGGTTGGGGTGGACTCCTGGGTACTTCAGGAAGTTGATAGGTGCTTGGAATGGACTGAAAGTGGCTGGAGATAAGGGTTTTGATTTGCTCTAGTTTTGAAGAAAATTTGAGATTTTGAGGGTTTGTTCTTGAGGCAATTTTCGTGTCTTTCTTGGTCTGAATTTGTTGTTTATTTATAGAAGAATGTTTAGGTCAATAAAATTAGATCACATCTTTTGTATTTCATGATCAAATATTTGATTTGAATTTTTGCATAAAATCTTTCTTTTTTAGGCCAATCATGTATCAACCATATGTACACGTTTTTGCAAGTAGTCACCAGCTTTTTGGGTTTTTGATTTGATTCAAAAATAGATCTTCATGCCTTATATCATTTATTTGGTATTTTATTTGATTTATTTTTCTTTTAATTGAATAAAATCAAAATCAAAAGAAATAAAAACCACAAAAATAAATTAATAGATTCATAGGTCTATTATGAGGTCAGGACCACGTTTAGACCTTAAAAGATAGGCCCATGAGCCCAAAAATTCAAATTTTCTCAATTTGGACTTCATGCATTTTCTCAAAATTATCCAAATTCCATCAATCATAACTCGATCAATTTTTGTTATATGAAGATGGTCTTATACTTTTTGGAAACCTCAAGATATCTCCTACAACTTTCATTTTGGTCATTTTTTCATTTGAAGAATTTAACTTGATATAAATTGCTTTGACAAAGATGTCTTTTTGTTGACTTTTAAAATGACTTGTAATGTTTTGGCTCATATCTCTCAAATGAAGCATTTTTATCCTTGAGCTTAGAG